TAATCATCAAAATTGCAATATAAGAAAGTCAAAAACAAGGTTTAATCCATTAATGATTTGTTTCAAAAAAAAAATCCATTAATGATTCTCTATCCTGCAATTTTGTTTATATGTTACTTACATCTACTTGTTTGTCATCCATTCATCATATTTTTTTTTAATATCTAGCAATAACATTATCTGTAAATTACCTCTAATTTATTTATACAAAGAGGAGAAAAATATAAATAAAAAAGGTAATCTAAAGAGTTTATATAGAAACCAATTATTATTATTTTCTAATTACGAATACGCGTTTTTTTCACCATAACACACGAAGTGTTGAAAAAATGAAAAACCTATGAACCAAAAGTTGCCATTGTTGTTAACAACAACACCAAAAATAAAAAGAGTGTGGGGGTTGGCTGGCGATGACCAAACTCGGAGGCTGATAGTACAAAGAGCTCCATCAATGGCGCAAATTCTGTTGGTAAGCATAGAAAATTAAATTTAAACTGTCTCGGAGACACTCACGTGTTTCTGTCTCTTCGCCTGTATAATATTCTCACCACGTTTTGTGTCCTTTCCCCCTAAAGAAAAAAAAAAGATTTGATTTTTTTTGTAGGCTTTAGGTGGTTCTTATCGTTTCCTCAGTGTCTTTCATTTCAATGAATAAAGCAGATACATTTCTTTTCACATCACTCAGCAAAAATCTACAATTTTTAGAAAGTTTTCTGTAAGTGGAAACAAATACAGGTAGGCGTTGAGAGACAGGATATGGGCAAAAATAAAACTAATAATTGATTTTACTCCATTTATGGCCTTATAAAGCTATTCTCTTGGCTCTCTATGTTGAATCTTTATCATGGTGGGTTCTACTTATTAAAAGTGTAGAACTTTACTTCTGGGTTTTTTTCTTATAGGGTGAAGATTTGAAGTAAACAAAATCATGAATCTAAATTTTGGAAAATGCTGTGGTTCTAAAAAGGTTTGTAGATTTTCTCTTTGAGATTTGTTCAGTTTCTTGGAGGTTTGGAATTTCCTGATGTGTTTTACAAATTATGCAGAAGGAATCATGGAGGTCTGTTTTGCTTCTTGCTTATCAGAGTCTTGGTGTTGTCTATGGAGACTTGAGTATCTCTCCTCTTTATGTTTTTAAGAGCACTTTTGCTGCAGACATTCGACATTCAGAGACCAATGAAGAGATATATGGTGTTCTGTCTTTTGTTTTTTGGACTCTTACTTTGCTCCCTTTGCTTAAGTATGTCTTCATTGTCCTTCGTGCTGATGATAACGGAGAAGGTGAGAGAGTCTCAGACCAGAGTTTCATCCAAGAAATCTGTTTGCTTGTTGATTTATGTTAAGTTGTGTCTCAGGTGGGACTTTTGCTTTGTACTCACTGATATGCCGTCATGTCAAAGTTAGCCTCCTTCCAAACCGACAAGTAGCTGACGAGGCACTATCCACTTATAAACTGGAGCATCCACCAGAGAAGATCCATGCCTCTTGTGTGAAAAGATATCTGGAGAAGCACAAGTGGTTACACACTGCTTTGCTGATTCTTGTTCTTCTTGGGACTTGTATGGTTATTGGAGATGGCCTTCTCACTCCAGCTATCTCCGGTATGGTTGCTTCTCTCTGTGTGTAGATACTTTAAATGCTTAAATGGGTTTTCTAATCCTTTTTTTTTCTTGTATCTAGTTTTCTCTGCTGTGTCAGGTCTTGAGATGAATATGTCTAAAGAACATCACCAATGTAAGTACACAAAGTCTTGTTTAATGTTTACCTTTGTTGCTCCTAGAGTTCTTATTGAATAATCTATGGCTTGCTCAAACGCGCAGATGCAGTGATTCCTATAAGCTGCTTCATATTAGTCTGCCTTTTTTCCCTTCAGCATTTCGGGACACATCGTGTTGGGTTTGTTTTTGCGCCTATTGTCCTTACTTGGCTTCTCTGTATAAGCGGTATTGGCTTGTACAATATAATACAGTGGAATCCTCAGGTATACAAAGCGCTTTCTCCTAAATACATGTTCATGTTCTTGAGAAAGACGAGAGTAAGTGGATGGATGTCTTTAGGCGGGATCTTGTTGTGTATTACTGGTTAGTTATTTAAAAACCTGTTGGTCTCTTTATTTATGCTAATAAGATGAAAATTATCGGTAATCTAACTCTTGGAGTCTTTTTTTTTAAGGTGCTGAGGCCATGTTTGCTGACCTTGGTCATTTCAACTACGCTGCAATTCAGGCAAGTTTATATGCTTTACTTCTTGTTATATCGCCACAGGTTTGAGTAGTTCTTTTGTTTTGTTGTAGATTGCTTTTAGCTTTCTGGTATATCCAGCTCTCATATTGGCATACATGGGACAAGCTGCGTACCTATCCCAGCATCACAACTATGCTCACGCCATTGGGTTCTACGTCTCTGTGCCAAGTCAGTAGCTTGCCTTACTTTCAAGAACTGAAGTTTTGCTATGTGGTCTAATCTTCTCTTTTGTTTTAAATCTTTGGTTTTGATACAGAATGTGTGCACTGGCCTGTGCTTATGATAGCTATTCTTGCTTCTGTTGTGGGAAGCCAAGCGATCATAAGCGGCACTTTCTCAATAATAAACCAAAGCCAATCTCTAGGATGCTTCCCTAGAGTCAAAGTCATTCACACCTCAGACAAGATCCATGGTCAGATCTACATACCTGAGATTAACTGGATGCTCATGATCCTCTGCATCGCCGTTACTATCGGTTTCAGAGATGTTAAACACTTAGGAAACGCATCAGGCTTGGCTGTAATGGCGGTTATGCTAGTGACAACATGTCTTATGACACTAGTCATAGTTCTTTGCTGGCACAAGCCACCGTTCCTAGCCCTCATGTTCCTCCTCTTCTTCGGATCAATAGAACTTCTCTACTTCTCAGCCTCACTCACCAAGTTCCGTGAAGGCGCTTGGCTTCCCATACTCTTATCACTCTTCTTCATGATCATCATGTTCGTTTGGCATTACACAACAATCAAGAAGTACGAGTTTGATCTCCAGAACAAAGTCTCCCTTGACTGGCTTCTCGCATTAGGTCCAAGCCTAGGTATCTCCAGAGTTCCAGGCATAGGTTTAGTCTTCACTGATTTAACCTCAGGTATCCCTGCAAACTTCTCCAGGTTCGTAACCAACCTCCCTGCTTTCCACCGTGTGCTTGTGTTTGTCTGCGTGAAGTCCGTCCCTGTCCCTTTCGTTCCAGCCGCTGAGAGATACCTCGTGGGCCGTGTTGGGCCAGTGGACCACAGGTCTTACCGCTGCATTGTCCGGTATGGTTACCGTGACGTCCATCAAGATGTTGACTCGTTTGAAACAGAGCTAGTGAGCAAGCTTGGAGACTTCATACGTTATGATTGGCACAAAAGAACTCAAGAGGAGGAGGAGGACACTGTTAGGTCAAACGAGTCAAGACTGGCCGTGATAGGAACCGTAGCTTACGAGATTGAAGAGAGTCTTCAGCCAGAGAGCGTCTCCATAGGTTTCACTACAGTAGAGAGCATGGAAGAGGTCATAGAAATGGAGCCAAGAGCCACCATAAGACGTGTTAGGTTTGCAGTGGAAGAAGAGAGTTCATCATCATCGTGGGGAGAAGCAGAGGCGGAGCTGAGGAGTGAGCTGAGTGATTTAGTGGCGGCTCAAGAGGCTGGGACGGCGTTTATATTGGGACACTCACATGTGAAAGCGAAGCAAGGCTCGTCGGTGATGAAGAGGTTGGCTGTTAATTTCGGTTATAACTTCTTGAGGAGGAACTGTAGAGGACCTGACGTGGCGCTTAAGGTACCGCCGGTTTCTCTTTTGGAAGTAGGTATGGTTTATGTTGTTTGAATTTGAGAAAAAACATGTAAACACACAAAATCTAATTTGTATGTTCACTGTTGTATATTGGTGACGTTTAGCTTCTTTCTTTCTGTGTTCTTAGATTCATCTGTGTGTTAGTGTTTTGACTTTTTAACCAAGATGGTCAGTTAATCCTTTGTTTGATAATCTGTTTTAGACAGAAATGATGAGTAATCACCAATGAATCCCTTGTATATTAATAGAGAAGTGAATTCCTTGTATATTAATAGAGAAACATTTAAAAAATAATAACATGTAATTTGTACTAATTAAAAAGTGTCATGTTGAATTGTCATATAATTAGAACTAGATTTTGAATCCGCACATCCGTGCGGGTGATCTTTCATTCTAAATATAAAAATTTAATATATGCTAACAATTTTATTTTCTGTAAAATTTATTACATAATTTACAAACTTTTAATTTTCTTAAAAGGTAAATAATATTTTAGTCACTTAAATGGTGAATGATATTTTATTTATTTATTTAAATGATTTTTTTTTTAAAATATATTAGTTTACCAATTTAATATATTTTTTATATGTAATTCATTTATTATTTCTATTTAATATAATATAGACTATACTTATAAAATTTATAAAATTGGAATATAGTATATTATATTTTGTTTATAATAAAATTTTAATTAAGATTAATGTATAATAATATTATACTACTAATTATGAAATTAATCAGTGCATTAATTAAAAACTATTTAAAGTTTTAAAAGATTTTGTTAGATTTTTTCTTAACAGATTTAGTGGTTACTAAAACTAAAATTTAAAATTATAGTTAAAATAGATTTGTTATTAATGTCTTTATATTATTAAAATATTATACTTTAAATAAATTAATGTAAATAATCAAACAATGTAACTGAATCCTTCCCACTTTATAGTAGATAAATAGTCATAATGTATATGGACATAGTATGACTATTTTATAGTAGATAAAAATGATACTTTTCTTTTAATAGAGAAGATGTTAATTTTGTTTACATGTCGACTTGAGAATATAATTTTATTAGTTCCAAAATTAAATTGCTAAGGAATGTTACAAAACAAAAAAAAAATACACCATTCATTTATCAGTTTGTTTTTTTATTTCTTAAAATCTATATTTTGTATGTAGAATATCCTACAATTTCCTTCTTTTCAATTTTCAGGTAAGTTTGTTGAATTCCAGGAGGGCTTAACTTACAAATAAACCGAATTTTATTTTTAAACCGACTGTTTTTGTTTTGTTCAACTCATAAATTCAAACGACCATAACATTGTGTGGAATATCACAAAGTCTCTCATAACACAAAAATAGCAAATGTTTCCTTTGTGTAGGGTATAACACAAAGGCTCTCATCACACAAACACGAAATAACAAAGTCTTATTCACTCATGTTTACTTGGGCATATACACTTAGGCGGCAGAAGGAATCTTAAGCTTCTTGTAGCAACTCATTTGCTTTGTTTACCCACACGTTATAAATATCATCCTCGGACAAAACAAAATACACCTTTATAAGAATGACAATACAAGACTGTAAGAAAATGTCATTTGAAAATCCATGCAAGTGTAACAATATGGACGTGAGAAGCAGCTGTTACCTCTTTAAAGTCATTGGCGAACTCTTTGATTATTGATATAGCAATCATAGCAGCTTCATCTTTAGGATATCTTTAACAACAAAAAACAATACATTCTAAGAGCAGACACAATTAGGAAAACGACTTAAGTCTCTGGTTGTGATAAGTTTACCCATTAACCCCACAAGATATGGCAGGAAATGCGATGTACTTGATGTTATTTTCCTTTGCCACTATAAGACAATTTCTGTAACAAACAAGAGATCTTATTTTTAGAAGAAAGAAGTCAGGTAGGGTTTAGAGCAAGATCGATAAACTGTTTACGTGTAAGAACTGGTGAGGGATTCTCTAGGGTTGACGTCTGAATCATAGACGGGTCCAACAGTATGAATTACATGAGATGCATGCAAGTTGAAACCCCTGTTCCATTTTTATAATCCAACATGTTCATTAATCAACTATACCTACTTCAAAATACCTCCATCTATTAAATAAACAAGTAGAAAAAGAGTAACCCTAAAATAGGAAAAGAAAAAAAAAGAGTAACCTACAGAGTGATTCTTGCTTCACCAGTTGGACAACGAACTCCAGGACGGACTTCAGGGACGTCAAAGCATGCTGCTCTCAGCTGTGGCCCCGCAGCTCTATGTATTGCTGTCACATATATTTACTTACATTTGGCCTTTAGATTTCAGATTTTGGGTCACAGTTTATGTAAACAGATATTCAATGGAAATGGAATTGGTAAACAACTGAAGAAGACAAGACTCGTTACAGTTACCTCCATCCACGCCACCACCACCTAGCATTCGCTTATTTGCTGTATTGACCTGAATAAACATATTGCCTAAGTCAAACTAACGATGAAGCAATAGCATCAACGTAATGATATGAGAGCCAGATGATACAAGAGACTATCAAACGATTTTCATCAAAAACTTTCAAGTTTCATCTAATATTTAGGATTTGAATTGATCGAGAAGAAGAGACTTACAATAGCATCAGATGACGCATCCACTGACCACTCAGTGATGTCACCTTGAATGATCTTGAGAAGACTAGAATCAGACAAACTGAAAACAGCTCCAGAAGCCATGGATGAGATGAGACAGTGAGCACTACACGGGAAGTCCTATTAGAAGAAGAAATAATAATCACATTTCATGTTTTTGTATCTTTTGCCTTCTATAAGTTTTTGCGTTTAACCACTGAATGAAAAATAAAGATCAAACTTTTCATACACCAAAGCGATTTATAATTAGTTAAAGAGGTTCACTAGCAGCTTGAAATATAGGAATGCTTACCAACAACAGGAGTTAATGTCTACGGTGAGATTGAATCGTTACGAATGATGTTAATTCATGAGATTGTAAATATAACATATATAATCTAAACATAATGTTCATTGTGACAGACATGCATCCACGTTCTTATTACTATTTCAAAATTACAGTTTTGCTTTCCATGTCATTCCGAGTTGTTAATCATTAAACACTTTTTTTATTACCAAATATAATCATTACAGACGATCACAAGGCTTTCAACGCACAACACAAATATTAAAATGGCTCCTTTGTGTGGAGTATTTGACAATTACTCATGCCTACTTAGGATGCAGGAGGAATCTTTATAAACTCTTGATATTGTTTATTCTTGGCTCAAACATGAAAGATGTATTCATTAAACTTTAAAGGATCAATCCATCACCTCAAGAAACAGCAATGGGTTCTTTACGTGGTTATCGACTTGTACCAAACCGTTGACTCCAAAGTCAATAGCTCTTTGTTGGTAATATAAATTCAATTATTAAGTTCTTTATATGTATTTGACTAACAGATAGTTGAGTATATGACAATAAACATGTAAAATTAAATAAAAAATTTGCTTTTCTTAGGCACGATAAATACAATCATTGAAAGCTAAGCGGGTGCTTATGAGCCACCTCAGCAATACGCAGCCACATCAGCACACTAAACATATGGGAGGATGATGGATAAGACTCAGAAGTCAGAACTGACCACCTTGGAAGGTTTGTCCGAACTGCCAATTAGAAGGAGCCACGTCATTGCTAACAACGGTGCGGCCATCACTGGTTGTGACCTGGAAGGACAGGCTCTGGTCGTTGAGGTAAGAATTGCTCTGCCAGTTTTGTCCCCAGTTCCTAGACATTGCTTGCCACGACCCTGTTTTTGAGCCTCTGATCGAGACAGCGTGAACGTCTCCTGCTCCGCCTACGTTCGAGATCAGAACAAGGTTGAAGTAAGAGTGTCCGTTGATAGTAAACCTTATCCCTCCTTTCTTCATACACGGTACTCTGCACTTACACGTCCTAACTCATTAGTCTAGTTTTAAAGAATTAACTAAGATAGCACTAAAACTTTTTTTTCTCAAAATTAGTATATAAGAAAAAGATTTTCCAAATAACATAAACTAAACCTTTTAGTTATTTTCTATTTAGATTTGAGGTTTTTTTTTTAATTAGGATTTAAGGTGTAGTAATATAAAGATTAAACTTATTTATACTATTTCGGAGTATTTTCTCTTTATATGCCATTTTGTCATAATTGTTTTTGTATTATCTAAAGGATTTTTCCTTTTTTTTTTGTAACACGTCCTTAGTTTCAATTATTTGTTTGCATGTGGTTATTTTTCCTTTTTAAAAATATTTTCCAAATCAATCAATATTTTTAGTAAACTTTAGAAAAATTGCAAAACATAAAGACCTAACATATGCACATCCTTCCATAGCGTTTGAAACAATGGCAATATTTGTTACTTGTGACCCAAGTACCAAAAAAAAGTTAAACGGACCTTCTGAAAGAGACAGGGACAATGCCGGCACGGTACTGAGCGATTTGTAGAAAAGCTGGTTCCGCGAGGTCGAAGTGTTGAAGAGGAGGATTGCACCATCCTCCATTATCGTTTGAGAGGCCAAAGTTCGGTGGACAAAAGTTTGTAGCCGTGACGGTGATAGTAGAACCGAGACACCATCTCGGGTCATCGTTACACTTCATCTCGTAGCACGCACCGCACGTGAGTCCGTTGTTGAACAGTGCCGTACTTAATGCTGCTGTGTTCGTCCCGTAGCCTTGGCTATAGAGATTTCCATAGCCACAAGCCCCACCTGAATATTTAGGTTAGGCCATGAGTTAGCTAAGAGAGATGAATGTATCAAGAGAATAAGTAAGCTAATTAACACAAGACTTGTTGGTCATACCCATGGTGCCGGAAGCGTCTCCGCCACCGTAGAACGTGGCGTGACCACCTTGCCAACCTCCATCGTCCCCATGAGTTCCTTGGAGGGAGAATAATAAGCTGAATATGGATAATGTTGAGATTATAGAATATTTGGAAGCTGATGTAATATACATTTTTTGACTTGTTGATTAATTCTATTTTGAGTATTGGAACTTGATTTGGTGAGAATAGTGAGACTGATGTGGAATCAAGAGTGGATGAATTGAGTTTATATAGGGAAGTTTTGGAGTTTATAATAGTGGGAAGAAATATAATAATATTTATATTGTATAATATATGTGGACAATAAATTAATTAAACAGTTAGGAAAATAAAGGAAAATGGTGTATTTATGATTTTATAAGATCAGGGGGGACTTTGAAGGTTGTGGCCATATGCAAATGTTGCGGCTAGACCAAATGTGATTCGTAATCAAGTGGCTCCTACTTGCACATGCTTCAGCACAAGTCTTTATTAGTTTGTCTCTTCCTTTATTTAGCGATTGTCATATGATCATATCTTTTATTTGTGTTGAAGATCATACACATCATCAATAACTTCAGTATGTTCAAAGCTACTCATACACATTTTGATAATCTTAGACAAGATTACTTTAAAACATTATTAGATCAAAACGTTTTATGTTGCAAATGATCCATTTACACGATGAAAATAAAGTTTAATCAAGGTGAACACATTGGAATAGGGAAGCAATTATACCACTCGGTAATTATATACAGCATTGTTTAGATAAGTATTCCCTTCTCTAATATTTATCGATACGTTTTAGTTTGGGGGATTGATAACGACTATTATTCTTTCTTTAACGCTATCTAAATGATATGGATTTTGACGAGAGAGGACACTAGAGAATAAACAAAATATAGCAAGTGTGAAGGTGGATGGTCCTACCATGTTACAAGCACATGCAAGAGGCTCTCGACGTGTGAGGATCCACCCATGCATATTTCTGATACGTCATTTTCGTGGCCCTTTTATGCATTTTATTAAGTGTTTTCTACGTCCAAACCGTAATCAACTTATCATCTATGTGTTAAGGTTCCTTCGTGATTCCCTGAAAATGTAGAAATGTGTTTTTATCTTGGGCAGGAAAAAAAACATATTACAGTTTCAGAATTTCAATTGTAAAATGTGTTTCAGTAGTATTCAACATACAATCATGACATCTATAAAACTACAACATTAATTACAGTTCGTCTGAATGTATTGCCAATTAGACACGCATATATATTGAAGTAGGAAAGAGCAAGAATTTGACTGAAACCAAAAGGTCACGTGAGATCTATCCAAAAGAAAACCAAAAGGGACCACACTTTAAGCAACCATCACAAGGGGCTTGTCTCTTAGTTGCCCCGAAACTGCTGGGACTGGCCATACATAACTACGTGTCTGAAGAATTGTCACTGTCCCCAAAATAACGTCATTTCAATGACCCAACTTCTGAGCCGACACAAGATAAATTAAAGTGCTGTTAAGTTAAGCTTCTCTGAAGATATAGTTCATGGATTCTCATGTGAGAATTTAATTTTGTTGTTTGGTTGTTAGGATACCGTTTGAGTGGCCTCAACATGACTAGTTCGGTTCATGTAATATGAGTCTTAACTTTTTAACACGTAACCCTGTTTTGGTTTCTAAGACTTCAAATAATCATCATATGTTTTGTAGTAGTTGTTTCTTATATGGAAGTCCTGAGAAACTTGTGCTTGAAGGAAAAGGAACATGGAATTGTAGAAGTAACAAAAGAAGAGAAAATAATGTAGGAGACCTGAAACATAATAACAACTTCTTGTCTAGTATAAGGGCAGAGCCAAATCCAAATACAACACCGTTTACATGGATGATTGATGAAGTAAGAACACATAACATAACATAAAAAAATCTAGTTCGACTTTGATAGATCCCAAGGAAGAACAATATGAACCAAAAAAAAAGTTAAAACACCTGTGGTCTCTATGTTGAAACCCCCTCACAAAGAAAATAAGAGTTTTACAGAATAAAAAAATGAATCAGACGGCCACAAAGATGTCAAAAGAATAGGATTATCGACAAAGCGAAACATGAAAAAGACAGAGCTTCACATGGTGCTACTGCTTTCACTGACGGTGTCAGACCTACCAAAGTTCGAGCCTCTGCCACAGCTGCTAATGTCAAGCCCCTGTAACCGGCCAAGAGGATCTTCATTCATTGCCTCTGCAAAGGAATGAGACTGACCCGAGGCATTAGAAGTAGTTTGATGCATAAGCTGAGGGTTTTGGCGAGAGGCTGAAGAAGTAACGTTTGGGTTTTGGTTATTGTTATTATTGGGCTGGAAGAGATGAAACTGATGAGTCATCTGTTGAAGGTTTTGAGCATCGGTTTGTTGTTGCTGATGATGATGATGTTGAAAGAATGATTGTTGTTGTTGTGGTTGCTGTTGCTGTTGCTGTTGAGAGTATTGCATGTGTGCCATCCCGAGGTTATAAGCATCAGCGTGTGAGACTTCTCCCGTGGCGAACTTCAGCCTCTCTACTTCCTTTTTCAGTTGCTCGTTTAGTGCTGCGTAGAGAAGAATCATCGGTAAATGAATCTAAAAAAACAAAACAATCACATAAAGGTTTACATACCATCTCGCAACTTGGCTTGTTGTTCCATGACTTGTAAACGAAGCTTGAGCTCTGTATTCTCAGATGACAAACCAGTTGTGTCTCTCTGTAATAATCAAGTTATTAGACACAGTAGTAGAGGAGAATGTAATGTTACTACAAAGGCAGTATTGAAGTTTATAATAAGAAACCTGGAACAAGGAGAGTTGTGCTGAGAGGGTAGTAGCTTCAGTTTGCAAAGTCTGGACCTTCCTCTCAAGCTCCATAATATAACGAGCCTTCCTCTCTTTTGAACGAGCAGCAGATTGTCGATTAGCAATTATCCTACACAGAGTGCACGAGACATGATTAGACAACTAGATCATCAATCAATACAAAATGCTGCCACTCAATGTTCAGAAAATTTAGAATAATACAGACTAACATATTTAGTAGTTTGAGAACAGACATGCTATTAATAGCAACCATTACGAGAGAGGTCCGTCACAAATCATGGAACTTTGAGACTACATGCACACAAAGCTAATGTCAAAAAATTTCCAAACCAAAGCCACTTGAAACTATAAACTTTCAATTATGTCAGTTGACTACTACTAAAAGGGAATCACATCTCGAAAGTTCAAATGTAAAAGGACATGAAACATTCAAAACACAAAATCATCATTATAAAATAGGATCTCTAAAAGAACAAAAATTGTACAAGTACAACAAGCTTGAACAGACAAACCAAACAAAAAGACAATCCAAAAATATCTAGTTATAGAGGGGGGCATCACATCATCATGAAAGAGACACATTTGCCATACAAATTCAAGAATCACAAAAAAAAGAAACATACTTATGGGACCCTCATGGTCTCTCTCACCCAAAAAAGACCTAGCAAAAGCAGAACCTAACTATATTACCGTTGAAATTCAAGAATCATAGTCAAACAAAAGTAATGTAACACATCTCAACATCAAAAGGTCAGGTAATAACGAAACCACCTTTTTCCCGCGAAATTTTTAAAACAAGACATATAACGACCTAACAAGAACCAGACTTTAATAAAAATAATAATTAGCAAGAAAATAAGCACAGAAAGAAGGAAACCTTTTAGCTCTCTTGGGATCAACGACCCAAAGCTCAGCGAGTTTATCAGGAGCCATAGCTTTCTTAGCCTCTATCGACTCCAAACTCGAAGACCCACCATCCACGGAGAGGCTGTGCCTATACCTCGGTCTACTCGTGCTCCCACCACCGGAAAACGGGTTATCGGACCTAGCAGCCGAATCGGATCCTCCGAGTTTCTCAATGTCCATGTACGTGCAGAAGATGTCATCTTCGGATCCTCCAAGGTCCTCGAACCCTCCTCCGAACGGTTCAGAGAGATCTAGATCTTCCGGGAGACGGAACTGAACCTCGGAATGTGCTCGCCGATGGTACGCTCCCCGGAACGGCGTCGACGTCGGAGTTGCGTTTGATAGAGGCGGGCATTGGTGGTTAGATTTAGAATCCTCCATGCCTCTTCTTGGATCGTCCTTCTCTCTGTATCTGTGTTTCGCGCCTTCTCTCTCTCTCTCCTCTGTCTATCTGTCGGAATCGGACAGCGAATGAGAGAGATTCAGATTTCACGTTTTTTAATCGAAACGGGACCCGAACGGCGTCGTTTCGTGCTGCTTCATTTAATTTTTAACTCTTCAAAAGTTTGTCTAAAGCAACTTTGAAGCTCTTCTCTTTGATTACTTTTTTTTTTTTTTGGAGAGAAGCTCTTGTCTTTTGAGTACATAAAATCATATAGACTTTAATAACATAAGATTTGTGGATTTTTAACTTGGATGTTTCTTATGCATGTGAAATCATTTGGAATCGTAGTTGGATACAGTTTTGTTGGTTGTTTGACACATAACATTGATCAATATCATGAAAGATGTAAATTAGTTTTTCTTTGGAGATCTAAATTAACTCAGTTAAATACATTTTACATGGTTATAAAATGTACGACTTCTCCTTAATTTAAATAGTAAGCCCATAATGGTAAAACATTGTTCTACCAGTATAGTATTGTCTTGAATTATAAAGCTTACTCATGTATTGTTTCTTGATTGCTGGCGTTGTGATGATGAAGAACCGTCTTGTTGCGCTCATCACAAATGTCAAACCTGGAAAGCTAATAAGAGATGTAATGTCGGAAGGACTGGTAAGAACGTTTGACTATCAATGATTAGATTATTGCGAAACTCTCAGTATCTCACGGTTGTTCTTCTTTGGTGTTCCTTTCGTTTTAGGTTCTTTGTGCTTCAAATGAAAATCACTCAGTGGTAGAACCGTTGCTACCACCTGCTGGAGCTCAACCGGGAGAGCGTGTTTCATTCTCAGGGTATGCAATGTTGATGACTTGACATCAAACATCTTTGATTGCTTTGGAAACATACTTGACTTTATTACATTTCTTGTTCGTTACAAACTCATGAACCCTTTTGTGTGGTCTAGGGTCGAAGGAAGATGTTCTGAACCCAAAAAAGAAACAACTTGAGAAGGTGTCATGTATCGTTAGATTTATATGCATACGTCAATTTATTAGATAATAGTAACTAATTTCTTAGTTATTTAATATATATATATATATATATTTATTATTTTATTTTTCATAATATTCAGAAAATATAAAAATAATAAATATAAAATATTTTTTTGTGCATAAAGTGCAGATCTTTTTAACCTAAGTATGTATCTCTTTAAATATTTTAAATCTTAAGAATTTTCTAAATCTCATGCCAAAACAATCAAACGAAATGAGAATGAACTTCAAAATCAATATATATATCGAGTAATAACTAAAATAAAAAAACACAAAAAGAGAAAATTATTGAAAGTAGATAGGATTGACACGAGAACGTAAATTTCTCATAACCATAATTAATTTTTCAATTGTTAAATCATGATCTCAAACTGAGTTAATTTTTAATTTGTTAATTTTTTAATATTTAATTTTTAAATCACTAGGGATATGTACAATCATGACCATAATTAATTTTAAACTCTACATTTTAAAATTTTATTTGAAAAACTTAAAATATTGTTTTAAAAAATAATTTTAGTTTTTTAATAATTTAAAATTTAAATTATTTTTTCTATAAAATTATTTCTCTCTTTAATTTTTTTTTCAAATTATAATTTTATACTATTATTAGAAAAATAAATAAATTATAGTAAATTAGTTTTGAAACTTTATATATTCTAAATGCAAAAATTCTACTAACTATTTCTTAAGAAATCTTTAGAAAATTTGTTAATACTCTATTAATCAAGCCATGTAATACTCCTCTTATTTTCCATCACGCGAACACTGAAAAGTGAAAAGATATATGGAATCATACCCATTAAATTCTAAGTTTTGATCTATAGTCCTAATTACAATTGTTTCCGATCATACGAATAGATAATTATATAAAAATTTCAAAATTATAAAATTTCAAATACATATTAAAACAATCATATGTAAATTTTAAATTTGTTCATACTAAAAATTTTATATTTTAATTACATATATTCATCATCATGCATGCGCGTAGGTCTTAGTTTAATAGTATTGATTGATGCATGATTGATTTTTCAAATTCCGAATTTAATACACGGGCCATTTAATAAAACGGATCGGCGTGTTTAAAGTTAAACGATAAACGAAATTCAGGCCCATTGTAAAAGCCTAGCGCGAGAACCCGAGCATGATATAAAAAGCACGAGAGGATACGAATTAAAGCCTAATAAGACCTTTCCACTTGCTCTCATCGGATCTCGCCTCTCGCCGCCATGGTGTGGTGTAACCATTGTGCGAAGAAAGTTGACGGATTTCGCCCAGAAGGCGGTGCTTTGTAAGTGTTTTTCGAATTTCCAGATTTGAAGGTTTCTTCTAGTTCCGAGTTAGTTATGATAATGAGCTACGTTTATATGTTTATTATTATGTAGGGCTTGCAATAAATGTGGGAGGATATTGGAAAACTTCAATTTTTCTGATGAAGTTACATTCATTAAAAATGCCGCTGGACAGGTACCCAAAAACCATCCCCTTGATTCTTTAGACCTAGAAAGAGATTTGAGATTATTATTATAGTCAGATATGTTTTAGTGATATTGTTATGGCTAGAATATATATATATATATATATAAAATGTTAGTTACAAAAAAAATTATATAAAATGTTTTAAAAAAGTATTTACTGGTTCGCCGGACTGCACATTTTTATTTTCTGTGACTTGCTTGCAGAGCCAAGCCTCAGGTAACATAGTGAGTAGTGTTCAGAGTGGGATTACAAGCTCTCGTGCAAGGAGAAGTCGAATAGGTATTGTCTTTTTTTTTTGTTTTCCGGTTAGTGCATTGTTATTACCTTTGTGCCAAAATTTGATCCTTTGTTTTGTGCAGCAAGAGATGAGCTTATGAATTTGAGAGATGCCTTGCAAATTGGTGTTGACAGAGATGATGTCGTTAATATGGCTTCCCGGCTCTTTGATGTATGTTTCTGTCAGGGTTTATACATATATTCTGTCTGTCTCTTGTCACATGATTCTATAACGCTATTTAATCTATTCTCAAGATGGCAGCTGACCAAAACTTCACCAAAGGGCGCAGATCTGAACTAGTACGCGCTAGCTGTCTCTACTTGGCTTGCAGGTTGGATTCTTATTTCAGATTTCTCTCCCTCTGTTATATTTTTTCCATTTTTGACCAAAAATCTTTCCTCATCTGCAGGTATAAGAACCTTGCTGTTCTTCTTATTGATTTTTCAAGCTACCTTCGAGTTTCCGTGTAAGTTGAGGAAATCTTTTCATTCCCCTACGTTTGACCTATTTTGTCTACTGACTAATGCGGGTAATGGTTTCATTTCAAACTTTTTTTTGTCAGTTACGAGTTAGGTTCTGTGTACTTGAAACTCTGTGAACTGTTCTATATGGTGGATAACCCGAACCGTGAGGACCTTGAGGAGCTTGTTGATCCTTCAATCTTCATTGAACGATTCATAAAGAGTAATTATGTCCTCTTTTGGCTCCCCCACTCTTTTTCCTTTTTTTTTTAATTAGTTGGTGTGAACATCAGTCAAATACAAACAACAGTTTGTATCAAACACTTGTTTCATCATACACACACTTTTAGGCTTATTGAAAGGTGAACATGATGAAGACACAAGAAAAAAAGTCATAAAAACAACTACGAACATTATAGCTAGTATGAAGAGAGATTGGATGCAGGTGTGACTCGACTCCTCTTTTTAAGAGTTACCTTACTACATGTTCTTTGTCTTAAGAGTTAATTTCTGGCTTGTTTTAATTGTTGACCATCTATTGGCTTTGCAGACCGGCCGGAAACCAAGTGGAATATGTGGAGCAGCAATTTACATAGCTGCCCTTTCTCATGGTATCATGTGCTCCACGACAAATATTGTAAGAATACAATATCTGATTTAGCGAAAGATATGTGTTATAAGATTAATAGAGCTAGCAATGATGATGTTTCGAGTTTGATATGTGTGTTTCTCAGGCACACATTGTGCATATGTGTGGAGCAACAATAACCAAAAGATTGAATGAGTTTGCTAATACGGAGGCTGCAAGTTTAACTGTGAGTTATTTCATTTTGCAGTATATGTTTACAAATCGCTTCTAGTTGTAGAGTAGTTATTCGCTAATTAGATATTGTGATTATGCAACCTTTTTTTTTTTGCCTCATATTACTTGTTGATTTTTATGTTGATTGTATTTTCAATTGTTGTACATGCTTGGTTGGCTAGGTTACGGAGCTCGATAAAAGCGAAAAAAGTATATTGCCTTTTACGCCAAGACCAAATTCTGACAAAGAAGTAGTGAACTGTAAACATAAGGAATCAAAATGTTTTGGTTATGGATTATGTAAGGACTGTCACGAAAAGGTAAGTCTCCATACTTTGTCTCTTTCCAATTTTTTAAAAAAGCTTATGCAACGGGCGAGTCCTGGACAAATGGCTCCTGATAGTTGACAATCAGAAGCTTTTCTTTTCCAAATTCTTTTCCGGCAGTTCATGAAAGTTTCTGGTGGAGTTGTTGGTGGGTCGGATCCTCCTGCTTTCCAGCGAGCAGAGAAAGAGAGAATGGAAAGAGCAGCTAGAGAAGAAAACGAAGGAGGAACTGGTTAGCTTATCAACNGGCGAGTCCTGGACAAATGGCTCCTGATAGTTGACAATCAGAAGCTTTTCTTTTCCAAATTCTTTTCCGGCAGTTCATGAAAGTTTCTGGTGGAGTTGTTGGTGGGTCGGATCCTCCTGCTTTCCAGCGAGCAGAGAAAGAGAGAATGGAAAGAGCAGCTAGAGAAGAAAACGAAGGAGGAACTGGTTAGCTTATCAACAACTATCGAAATAGATTACTCTTTTTTTTTTCTCTCTTTTTGGGGCTAATTGTTTTGAGAATTTTGTGTGTGCTCTCTGTCTCTCAGAGAAAAGTGAAGGAGGAGAAACATATTGGAATGCTGAAGCTTCGGATGAATCAGACAATCTTTCTGACCTCGATGGTGATCCTGTGGTGGGCAATAATAATTTGTTTACTTTGTGTTGGTATTAGATTTTAAGTAGAATGTTTAACCTCTCTTGTGGTCATACTATTTCTCACTGTGTCCCAGGTGGATGGCTGTTTTCTTGACGAGGACGAAAAGCGAGCTGTGAAGAAATCATGGGAATTTCTTAACGCAGACTGGCTTAAGGTGATAGACTATCTTCTCTTGTACTATTTCCTTCTTCATTTGTTAGAATCTTTTACGAAATTTTAATATTGTTTTGTAGGAGCAAGCAGCTAAGGAAGCAGCTCTGAAGACTGCTACTGAAGCTTTCAACGCGAGCAATGCTAATTGCCCAGAGTACGCTAGAAATCTTGTTGAAGCTTCTAAAGCATCTGTGACAAAATCTAGAAAGGTGACTAACTTTGCACTAGTAATGTTTATGCATCCATGGCTTTTATATTATCAAAGTATCTGACTTATGAAATAATATGCACAGTGTCCACTAGATAATGACCCTAATATAGTTTATCAATCAAAACTCTTGGTCTCTATTCTTTTAGGCAAAGCGACAAAAACGTGCAGAGGAAGCAAAGAACGCGCCTCCCGCATCCACAGCTTTCGAAGCTTGTACCGGAGTGCTTGAGAGCAGGGTAATACAACATATAGCTTTTGAACGTTTGGAATTTTCTTGTGTTTTTGATTTTGAGTCTTGAACTCTTAATACAGGGATTAATGAAGCACTTCAACCTCGATATTTTGAAAGAGCTCCTTGATCCTGCCACATATAAGGAAGATGAAGAAATTCCTGAAGAGGATGAAGAACAAGAGAAGAAGTAATACCGATCTATAACTCTCTGTTTCTGTTGCTATTTTAGTCTTACTAACTCCCTGTTTTTCTTTTCTTTACTGGTTATAACAGGTGAAAGGAGACTAGAAAACAAGGGAAATAATCAATTGTGTCTGTTGCATGCGTTTGCTGTAATACTTAAATCTAAATATGTTTTGTTGACTTTTGTAACAAGGTTAAAACCTGCCCCCAACCACAAATTATTTCTCAAATTGCATCTTTGTGAATCTGAAGTCACAACAAGAGTTTCTGTTTCGTCTTTCCTTATTCAACAAGTCTGTTATTCACTAAGTTTTTGTCCCTTATTGTTTCTCTCTTCAAAGGATTAAGTGTGCTATGGCTTTGCTTTTGATAGTTTTTTGAGTTATTGGCTACTATGGAGTCTTGTTCGAGTTTACAAAGAAATGAGACAATTGATTTGCATCTTAGCCAGATGGATCATCTAATACATTCTAATATTGATTGAGACGTTTGGTTCGGGGGTTTGATCACGAGTATTATTTTGCTCTTGCAAATCTAAATTATATGTATGANCTATGGCTTTGCTTTTGATAGTTTTTTGAGTTATTGGCTACTATGGAGTCTTGTTCGAGTTTACAAAGAAATGAGACAATTGATTTGCATCTTAGCCAGATGGATCATCTAATACATTCTAATATTGATTGAGACGTTTGGTTCGGGGGTTTGATCACGAGTATTATTTTGCTCTTGCAAATCTAAATTATATGTATGATATGACTAGAGGCCACAAATGAATAAAAAATATAGCAAGTGTGACAGTAGATGGTCCTACCCAGTGTTTTAAAAACCGATCCAGCTACTGAACAGACCATTTACCAAGTCACTAGGTCTTTGGACCGATTGCCGGGTGAACCGCATATTATTAAATAAATTAATTTTATTATATAAAAATATATTTTCTATTAAAATAAAAATATAGGAACTATTTAAATAGTTTGTAACAAGTTAAAGAATTATGACATCTAAAAAATCAAGACATAAAATCCATAAATGTTTATGTCTGATGTGAATAATAAATTAAACTTCAAATCCCAAATAAACCAAAATAAAAAATCGACAAAAACGTGCAGAGGAAGCACAGAACGCGCCTCCCGCATGAGAGCTTGAGAGCAGGGATTAAGTAAGCACTTTGACTAGTGTTTTTGATTTTGAGTCTTGAACTCCTAATACAGGAATTAAGTAAAAAGCACAGTGACTTCGATCGTTTGAAAGGGCTCTTTGACTCTCTGTTTCCTCTTGCTGTTGTAGTCTTACTAACTCCCTGTTTTTCTTTTCTTTATTGGTTATAACAGGTGAAAGGAGACTATAAAACAAAGGAATTAATCAATTGTGTCTGTTACAAAAGGTTTTTAAAACTTATGGAGATGTTTGTTCCGAGACTTAACTGTTGTGTTTTGCTACATGTATTTTTCAAATAATTTAATACTCAAATATTTTTTATCTAAAGTATTTTACATTATTCAAATTATCATAAAGACACAAAATACTTGAATAGTTTTAACTAAAATATTAAAATTTTGTTTTCGTAACTGGATATTTACCCCGGTTAATCTAAAATTAACCCTAGAAATCGTAACCAAACCGTTATCATATTGGAACCAAAAATTTATCTGATATTAGGAGGTTATTATAATTGTTACCAAACCCAGCTCAAGCCAAAAGAATCGAACCGGACACAAATCAATTTATATAAATAACTGAACATATCTTATATCTATAGAACTAAAAAAACTACGAACATAAGGAATTCGACAAAAGTTGAATCCAAAATCAAACTCCAGTCCTATTACATTCAATACGATCACAGTTTCTAAAATACGGTAATAACCGATGACTTATGAGTATATTATGCTTTCCTAAATTAAGTTAAACCCGTGCCGATGTACGGGTCAAGATCTAGTAATTAAATTATTTGTGATCAATGAAACTTTTAAAAGTTTAAATTGTGTTTTAATTTAAAACCAAATTATAATACAGTCACCATTTATATATTGTCTTATCAAATTTCCCAACAAATATACGACTTGCCATGGAACAAAGCATGCAATGATGGATCATTACGATAAAAAGAAGATAACATAAATAAACCAAAGAAAAGAAGAATGAAAAAGTAAGAAATGGCCATGTTATAAATACATCATGACCATTGTTTGCCAATTTCAACAAAGTTGGCCCTCCAAATTTGATAATTCAATGTTTCTTTTCTTATGTAGTTATTTATATATATGCACTATAACATAAACCGCAACACCACACTCCCTTCTTGCACCCTAAAGACATCAAGAATAAAGAAAATCCAAATATACAATCGAAATTCTCTTATTTTCACCTTTTAATTTGATTGTGTTCTTGAAGGGTTGCTACACGTAATGGATGAAAGGAAGATTAAACTTCACATTTTATTACTCTCTTTCTTACTCATCTCCTTAGTTCCTTCGATTCTCGGATTCAAAATGAGAGGCACTACTAGATCTGAGCTGGGAGCACTGCACGGAGGAGAGTACTTCCCGGCGATGAAGAGCAGGAAGCTGATGGTTACAGTTTTGGAAGTTGATTATTCAGGTGGTTATGATGATGGAGCCTCTTCAGCATCACCATCACCACCAGTGCCTGATTATGATGATGACATCTATAAAAGGCAAGGTGATGTCCCAAGCCCCGGTATTGGCCATAGATGATACTTTTTTCGTGTGTAGTCTCTACACATACACATTTCAGCATTTTGCGTTATATATATACCCATACATGTTGTTTAGTTGTTCTTCATATTGTTTTTGTCCTACGAGGTCGTCTTCTCATATACACATTTTATGTTGCTCTTTTTTTTCATTTTGGTATATATATAAATTTTAATTATGTTTTTTTTTTTGTAATATAAATATAAATGTGACCTCTAGATTGAATTGCCTCGTTTCCCTGTGTTGATGGGAGCTTTTGGTATGTATGTAAATAATACTCTTTAGATAAACCTGCAATTGTCCTTTGTAAAATATTTTCGGTTATGAAGAAGTTATGTTAATATAAAAATAGTTTCTTCTCTGTATCTTTCTTAAGTCTTTTACAATTTTGCTATTAAAGTGTGATTAATTTTATTAACTATAGAACCTATGTAGGAATCCAAATTTACATTAGACAATTGATGAACCAAATGGGCTTAATATAGTGTATATTATATAGTTTCATGTTCCAAAATAGTAAAATACTATTCGAGATTAATAAAGGGGGCAAAACACACAAAAACATTCCGACATTTCGTAACAAAAAGAACACTGTGTCAGTTATACAGTCTTGGCTTTTGTAACCATTCACCGACAAGTTGTATTGACAATTTACATATTAATTGTTGGCTTCGTGGCCGTTAACGAAGCATCAAATATTAAATCTTTCACATTGAGGAAGCTATCGTGTGTGTATATATACTGAAACTCAATGTTCAAAAAATTGGTAGACGGCAATTACAAAAGACTGGATTAACGATCGATTAGACGTATTATTCAAGGTGTGAAGCATAGGTAAGAGAGTCTCAGACCAGAGTTTTCATCCAAGAAATCTGTTTTCTTGTTGCCTTATGTAGTTACTGTAAGTTTTGTCTCAGGTGGAACTTTTTCTTTGTACTCACTGATATGCCGTCATGTAAAAGTTAGCCTCCTTCCAAACCTACAAGTAGCTGATGAGGCACTATCCACTTATAAACTTGAGCATCCACCGGAGAAGATTCATGACTTGTGTGAAGAGATATCTGGAGAAGTACGAGTGGTTACAAGTTCAATATGAAAAACAAAATCTGAAAAGAAAAAATTTATGTTGGTTGAAAGTTGAAACCCAAGCCCAAATCTCAGAGAATCGACCAGAAGTTAAATGAGTTTTATAAACCCAATCAATAAGATTACTTTGGCGTAACGTCAAATATAAAGGGGGAAACGATGACGGTATAGTGGGCGACACAGTTAAACCCTAATCTGAGAAAAAAAATCTCGTTTCAGAGAGAGAGAGAGATCTACCGCGGCGTTGTTTCTTCGGTACGTTCTCTCTCGTTTTACAGATTATTCTTCGCTCTGTTACAGATTATCCGAAACTTCTCTCAAGGTTTGCTTTCGATTTGGGTCATCATGTTGGTTTTGAGCCCTGGGAAATTGAATATTTAGCAAGCAGCTGCGGTGGTGGAAAAGATGTCAACATTTTGATTTGAAATTTTTGTAGATAGTGAAGCTTGAGAGAGAAGTAAAATCCAAAAGAGACTTCTTTTTGGTTTGTTTATCCTTATGGAAGATAAGGGAAAGGGTCTTGTGGTGGGAGAAGATGAGGAAAACTCGTTGTCTGGGGGTCCAACCAATATGGAAGTAGATGGTAGTGATGATAACTATGATGATGATGATGATGATGATGATGATGATGATGATGATGATGATGATGATGATGATGATGACGAGGAGGGAGATGTGTCTGATGAAGCTCTAAGTGGAATTCGGGAACGCCTTGAATATGAAGCTCTCGCTGAGAAGAAACGCAAAGCACTTGCTGATTCTCAACGTGATGGTTCAGATAAGAGATGCAACTATGATGCTAGAAGGAAGGTGCGTTTTCATAGGACAGCTTCTTTCTTATATTCACGAGTTAACTTGTATTACATTGTGTCTTTAGTCCGTCTTCGCATGTTCATTCTCGTGTCCACGAAATTATATGATTAGACAGTCCTATTCATATCAACCTGGCAACTCTGCATATGTACGTTTACTTGTACAGAATAAAAAAAGGGGTAGACGGCAGGGGTCAAACAAACAAGTTTCACCCGAGATTCTTAAGAGGTTGAAGGAGGCTCTTTTTCTTTACGCAAATCATAAAGACAGTAAGGTAATCCAGATGAAATGTTTATTTTCTGTGATATCTTTCTTCAGCTACACATTTTCATAATTTCCTGAATAAGCAAACTGATTTTCATCTACACTACATCGTTTCGACTATTACATTTACTGCTGCTTTTTCCTAAATAGTGCGTGTGTGTGTGTGTGTGTTATATTTATTTATATTTATGGATCGATCCTGATCAATGTTGTTTTACTTTCCTCCAGGCTTCTTCTATTTTAATTGACATTATCAAGGAAGCACCATCCTTCAATCAAGCGTATTTTTACCTAGCATTTGTACCTGACGGCCTTGGTATGCCCGACTCATTGTGTACTGAAGCATTGAAGGCTGCTGCACGTATAAAAGGTCCAAAATCACATGTTTGGAAGTTGCTTTACGAGAGGGCCAAGTAAGTTCTCCTTGTTCATGAATCAATGCCAAGTCTTCATCTTGTACTGTAGAAATGCCAAACACAGAAAAAAAAAAAATTATGTTACTACAATATGCTTGTCATCTAGTTGTTTACAGTAAGAGACCTTATCAGAGATTGTAGAGCTTGCTAGTAATTCGGTAGCAAGAAAACTTATATTTTCTGTTTAAAATTTTGATTTTGGCTGTGAAAAGCTAACTAAGAAAAATTAATTGATTTCAGGGAACAAGGGGACATGTCGTTAGCAAGGAAGTATGCGTCCAAAGCAGTAAAAGCAGATCCAGAGGACATGAGTCTGAAAAATGAATATGTAGAGCTCTGCCTAAGTGCTGGGAAATATAAAGAAGCTGCTGAAACCTATGAGACAATATTTCGTCGCCATCCTGAGATAATTGAGCCACTCAAGTTGGGGACAAAGGTATATATATATATATTGATGCTGAAATGACTTGAAATTTTATCTCTCTGATGTTTCTTCTTCTTATTGGGCTTCTCAGTATTTTCTAAAATCCGGCAAGGGTGAACGCGCAGCAAACATGTTAGAGGATCATATAAAATCTCATCCATCTGAAGTGAGGCCTGATATCTTGGATCTACTGGCTGATGTTTTTATGCAAATTAATGCGTATGATAGAGCTCTTAAGTATATTCATGATGTGCGCCACCAAATTTACAATCTTGGAAAGGAACTGCCTTCCAGCTTAATAATCAGACAAGCCATCTGCCATGTTCGCTTCCAAGAAATGGAGCAAGCAGAGGTTTGTGTATCCTTACATTATAAACCTGCTAGCTAATTTTTTTTTATCCCAATGATTGCTCCCCTTAAAGCTATACCCTCTTCTAATTATTTAATAAATGGATATTTGGAAAAAAAAAAAAAAGAGATTTCATATAAATCTACTCCCTCCGTTTCTTTTTATAAGATGTTTTAGAAGGTTTATGTTGTTTCAAAATATAAGATGTGGCTTCGTTAACTTTTTCTCTTTTCAAAAAGCTTATGTACCTTCTCTTGTGAATGATGTTGCTTGCCATCTCTACAGAATGTTTTAAGAATTCTACCACTGGAGGCTGTATCTGAACATCCAAAGCTCATCATCGATTTGGCTGATGAGCTAACAAACATCGAGAATTTTCATTCTGCTCTCAAATACTATTTGCTAGCAATCAATGACACTCTGAATGTAAGGGCAGTTGTAGACTCGATTGTTTCTTCTCTTACAACTTTTGTTTCGTCACTTTGGTAATAACTAGTTTGTGGTTTTACTTGTAGAATGGCTATTTGTTTGTGAAAATTGCTCGCTGTTATATGTCGTTGGAAAATCGAGAACAGGCCATCACTTTCTATTATAAAGGTACTTTTTTAATTTATTTAGTAAGAGATTGATTTATTAGTTGTTGTGCATATGTATTTTCTGGAATGAAATATCTTTTAAATGCATAGGTATAGTCCCCTCTTTCACTATGTTCTGTTCATAGTTAAATTACATGGCATGTTTTGTGAAGGTCTCCAAACTCAAAATCTTTTATGATTTTCCCTCAGCTTTGAATGAAGTCAGTGATCCAATTGATGCTTGCATAACTCTGGCTTCACTGCTCCTGGAAGATGGCAAACGAGATGAAGCTATATCTGTGCTTTCTCCTCCGGTAAATCCAGGTCAGCAAAGCAACAAAAAAAATCATTATCTTCTCTGGCTTGTATTGTCTACAAGCAAGTGAATAGTTTAGCAAAATTAATTTGTACAATGATTTAGTACCTTATTAAATATCACTTTGACAAATTTGATGTCAAACTTTGTACAATGGTTTGTGTTATCTTTCCAGTGTCCTGTTTTTTTTTCTTCCAAAATGTGATTCATGCGATACGCATCCAACTATGTAGTCATATAAGATTGCTTAGGATGGTTTTTTTTTCTCAAAGCGTAGATGTTGAGACGTGTAAAGAGAAGGCATGGTGGAAGAAGAGAAAGATCAGGATGCATCTTTGTCAGATGTATCATTCGGAAGGGATGCTTGAGGAATTTGCCAATACAGCATTCGAGTTGGTTCTTAAGTGGGTTGGGCGGCGTATGGTAATATAGCTCTGTATCCAAGAGTTTCATATAATAATAAAAATGCTAACGAAATTGACAACTTAAAATAGTTACTGCTTCTTGAAGAAAAGCATACTTTTGACTTTCATTCTTTCATTCAGCATTAGCAGAAAGTGGTTTGATAGAAATATTTTTGTTTGCTGGCTGTCTAACACTGTTCTTGCATTCGAAAACGTTTAGGTCAAGGGAAAAAGAAAACGATCGGATCTTTCGGAGCTTCAAAGAAATAGAAGACGCCGACGTCCTAGAGATTCTCAAGCTTCCGAGTGAGTATTTAAAAAAAAAAAAAATCTAAATCCAGCATTATAGTCTTTAAGCCTTGCTTGCCGTGTCTGTCTGCACATTATTAGTAATGCATTGTTCCGAAACATGTTGAGCCAGGTTGAGAGGCGGCAGACCCAAAAAGTTGCGCAAAATCAGCGCAACACTAAAAGTAACAGAAAGAATTGGACAACGGTTTGCTATTAAAGCTCATAACGAAGATATGTGTAGTGAATCTGAGGTATCTTTCTATCT